TCTTAGGCATTCTGCGTGATCACTGTTATACATAATTTAGTTCTGGTCTTTGATATTTTCATTGGTGGAGCCACAACAAACAAAGGTTGAATTCAGAATTGCATACTATCATTCTCTTACTATTTCAGACATTTTTATGCCATACATATGGCAAAAAATAGTAAGTACACTGATAAAAAATGATTTTGTGGTTGAGGTAAATACTATCGAAAAACAAATGTAATTACTCAATTTAATAATTCAGTTCAGGCAAAAATTAAAAAGAGAGTTAGTACTTAATTTAAGCTTGAAAGTTTGAGCTTATAAGCATATTTTGCTTGGAATTACTTGTTATATTTAGAAGATATATTTTAAGTAAATATCAAAGTAATGATCCTGTTGTTCCCATCATGCACTGGGGGATCAATAATTAATAAGATTCAATTTTTCACTGTTTTCGAGTTGTATTTACACTGTTGCTTTTGTTGTCAGCAACAGTGTTTTTTGTGTTTTTTTTGTTGTCTTGCTTTTATTCTGCCAAAAAATGAAATCAATGTAAATCAGTGAGATCTTTGTAACAGATTAACAGACTACTTACATAAAATGCATTAAATATGAGTTGTCACTCTAATATGTATTCGTAAGATTTAAATGCTGAGTTTTATAATCAAAGCTCTGTAGTTTTTATAATGAGGGGGAAACATATAATGCAATGCAATGATGATTGAGAGATGAACAAATAAATGTTCCTCAAAAGCCTGAGCATAGCTGATACTCGCGATCAAGTAAAGCTAAGCTGCTTTAGTCTAGTAAGCATTCATCGAGGAATATTACTGACAATGTAAAAGTTATTATTTATGTTTGCTTTATAAGATTTCACAGCAAAAAGAGAGGCATAGATCGTGTAAAACTGGATTTTCAGCAAAGTTTTGATCATGTTGATGCAGTAGGTTTCATAGGGTTAAGGCAGTGCTGTCACGTGAGATGCAACTGTAGCCGCATCGAAGAGGAAACTGTAGAAAGCGGAATTAAAGCTTTAGGGTGTGATCAGTGCTAACTGATACAACCGCTCATTTCACTTGAACTGTAGAGGGGTCAGTGGGGTGCGATTATGTGTATGTGCAACATTAATATTGCGTAAATTCACAAAAGCCTGCTATAGAATAGGAGGCAGACAGTATGTCAGTCCTGGACTGTGTGAAGAAAACTATAACAATGCAGGTTTCTATCCGTCTCGTCCCTTGCCTCACACACTCTATAGTTGAACTCGTCCATTCACGCTTTCCCCTCGCACCTCTCACCCTGTGACTCCCAGGTCTTCACGCCGACACGTTTGCCATTATCCCGCTCTTCACACTTACTGGAGTCCAGCACACAGTCCACACAGACAGAGAAACTTCCAACAGACCAATACTACAATGATCCTTGTGATGATATTAAAGTCAACATGAAAAATTCTATGTAACATAAGCCATAGTCGGAAGGGAAGTCAGCCAAAATGGAAAGTAAATTCAGAGGCAGATTACGTTTTGACCAACACGGTCTCATGCCGATTTTGAACTATTTTATGTTTTGGTTAATTGTTGTCTAATTTGTATGATCTGCTTACGCCCCATTGACAGTTATGTTTAGGGCAGGGCTGCCCAAACTTGGTCCTGGAGGGCCGGTGTCCTGCAGAGTTTAGCTCCAACCCTAATTAAACATACCTGAACCAGCTAATCAAGCTCTTACTAGGCATAGAAACTTCCAGTCAGGTGTGTTGAGGTAAGTTGGAGCTAAACTCTGCAGGACACCGGCGCTCCAGGACCGAGTTTGGACAGCCCTGCCCTAAAGGGTTCGGGTTAAGGGTGGGCCTCCATGCTCAATTTCTTCTAAAAATCATACATTTTTGTACAATTCACATCAAATGTGAAATTGCCAGCTCATAAAATAGTTACAATGATGTAATAAAACTGGGCTGTTATTACCTCTCAATGACAGATTTAATGAAATACAAATGTTTTTCTTTTTGGAACAACATGCACACTAAAGTTGAGGTCACATTAATGATATATAGGCTACATTTCGTTGTCAATACTGAAGCAAAGTATGTACGGAAGTCACTTTCTGTTGGTCAGCGCAGTGAATTTGCGTGATTAAGTGAAATCTGCAGGGGGAACTTTTTTGTCCTTGTCCAAAACTCCCGATCGCAGCGATTCCTATTGAAATGAATGGCATTCACCACAAAATTTCCTGAAAATGTGTTTAAAGAATGCAATTTCATTTTACTTCAAATTCTGAATGCATTCACAGTCGGAAGGGAAGTCAGCCAAAATGGAAAGTAAATTCAGAGGCAGATTATGTTTTGACCAACACGGTCTCATGCCGATTTTGAACTATTTTATGTTTTGGTTAATTGTTGTCTAATTTGTATGATCTGCTCACGCCCCATTGACAGTTATGTTTAGGGCAGGGCTGCCCAAACTTGGTCCTAGAGGGCCGGTGTCCTGCAGAGTTTAGCTCCAACCCTAATTAAACACACCTGAACCAGCTAATCAAGCTCTTACTAGGCATAGAAACTTCCAGTCAGGTGTGTTGAGGTAAGTTGGAGCTAAACTCTGCAGGACACCGGCACTCCAGGACCGAGTTTGGACAGCCCTGCCCTAAAGGGTTCGGGTTAAGGGTGGGCCTCCATGCTCAATTTCTTCTAAAAATCATACATTTTTGTACAATTCACATCAAATGTGAAATTGCCAGCTCATAAAATAGTTACAATGATGTAATAAAACTGGGCTGTTATTACCTCTCAATGACAGATTTAATGAAATACAAATGTTTTTCTTTTTGGAACAACATGCACACTAAAGTTGAGGTCACATTAATGATATATAGGCTAAATTTCGTTGTCAATACTGAAGCAAAGTATGTACGGAAGTCACTTTCTGTTGGTCAGCGCAGTGAATTTGCGTGATTAAGTGAAATCTGCAGGGGGAACTTTTTTGTCCTTGTCCAAAACTCCCGATCGCAGCGATTCCTATTGAAATGAATGGCATTCACCACAAAATTTCCTGAAAATGTGTTTAACGAATGCAATTTCATTTTACTTCAAATTCTGAATGCATTCACAAGTGAAATGTCTCAAACAGGAGTATTTCTATCCTCTTCCTTCTCAGAGTCGTTGCATTAACTATGCTAGTTTTATGTTGGTCACAGCAGATAAAGTGTATAGAGGGAAGCGGTTAACACATGCTTTGGTTATGCTCCATGCTGTCAGGATAATGTCCGCCTAAATGGAAAGTCAGTTGTTATATTTTCATTAAAGATTATGAAGACAAACTTTTTCAACTGAATAACACACTAATGAATGAGAAATGTAAATAGGCGCATTTTATTTTCATGCTGAAAGCAGTAACTGACAAAGACATCAACGTTTGAGTAAATATCTGCATTTCTTATGCATGCATTGGATTAGGTCTGGATTGGTGAATATTGGTTTTGACCCATTTACTCACCAAAGTTATTATTATAAATTGTTTTTGAAGAAGGACAAGAAAGCTGAGACATTGAGTTCCAATCATAGCGAGACACTTTAGCTCCTTTGTCACCCATAAGCAGCTTAAATACAGAAGATCTATGACAGCAGCCACATTCAAGTGTGAAGACATATCATGTGCCTTCTGTGATTATATGCTCATATACTTTTCATGAGCTAGCCTCAGATTTCTCACACTTGATCGTACAGTCCTCATTTGCATTTAACAACTCGTTAAACATAAAATAAAACATGCCACGGCATGATTTCACTTCCTTTTCCAATGGCTCTTCTCTCAAAGGCCCTCACACTTTCTCCCTCCGAGCTTTTCAAGTCTCACACTTCTCCTTCATGGCCTTCCTGCAGCAGCTAATGGTTTACAGGCAGAAGACAAGTGCTAGAATTAGCATGACAAGAACCTGAGTGAATGTGCAATCCTTGAGCCAAAGAACACACCGATCCACATAGGTGTGATGAAGAGGGCTCCAGAGATGCATTAGCATCGGAATTAAAGGGGGGAAAAAACTCCCCGTGTGTGGTTTCATCGTACTTTTTCAAGAAAAAAAAGGTTGCGACAGCTTATGCAAAGCGGTTTTGTGCTAAAGTCAGTGGTTGCTGAGGTCTGGGTTGTCAACAGAAAGAGCTGATCTAAGCGCTGATAAGACATGTTTACAAAAATAACTATGGTGGTTCCATGGTACAGTGATGGTATCAGTTGTTCATGCCATGATAGTCTGATTTAGTATGGAACTGGATGATTATCATTTACGGTACAGTGCTTTTAAGGTACTCAAAGACACCCTCTAGCTATATCAATAAGTTTACATTACTTTTAGATCCTTTTACATAATTACTTTTTCTTTTTATATGTTCAATTGATTTCGACGACATTTCCAGGCTCAAACAATGGAAATCACAATTTAAAAAATGTCCCTGGCTGCTTCAAGGAATATGGTTGCATTCATGCCCCAAAAAAGCTATGAAGCAATGCATTTCAATATTTGACTTTTTCTTAAAGACACTAATCACGGTGCAGGACTAACATTTTGTCAAAAATAAAAAAAAGTCAGTTTAAAGGTTTGTCTAAACCAGGGCTGCCCAATCTCGGTCATGAAGGGCCGGTGTCCTGAAAAGTTTAGCTCCAACCCCAATTAAACACTCCTGAACCAGCTAATCAAGCTCTTACTAAGCATACTAAACTTAAAGGCAGGTGTGTTGAGGCAAGTTGGAGCTAAACTCTGCAGGACACCGGCCCTCCAGGACCGAGCTTGGGCACCCCTGATCTAAACAGTTCGCTAATCATTACAGACAGTGCAAACAGTAATGCAACTTCAAGAGGAACAAATGCGCAACTTTATACAACCTAACTAACTGGATGGGCAGAATATTATCGGAAACGCCTCTATTGGCCTTTTTTGACCGGCGTGGTGAATTGGCCTATAGTGGAGGGGAGGAGGTGCTTTGAGAGGAGGAGACTGCTCCTCTCTTCAGTTGCATTGACCACCTCACATCCACTGCGAGCGCCTGAAGACTCAACGCCTCGCACCAACTTCTAGGTTTTTGCCGAGATTTCCCCCCCTTCTCGAACGCGCATGTTTCGTGATTATTTTGACGAAACGCTCCGCGATTTGTCTGCATTCGCCATTGGATAAACAACACATTGTTCGCTGGTTGAGTTGGCGTATGATCGCATTCAAGCATCGCTTTTATTCCGCAGGATATTCATGTTTTTAAAGATACAAAGGACGCGGTGGATCCACTGGCGGAGATCAGAACTCGCTCGCTGGAGGAGGACGCGGGTGGGATTGAAACCCCGGCCGAACACGAACATTTCTTTCCGCGCTGTCAGTAAATGAAGTGGCCTGTCGGATTTGTTATATTAGCTGGATTTCAAAAAGCCATCCCGTTTCAGAGTGGAAAATTAGGACAGGGCGACCTGCAGCCCTCACAAAGGGGTTCCACGCAGCCGAGCGCACGGCGTTCTTTTCTTGGGGCGCAAAACCGGCACATGTTTGCGTGTAGATAGAGAGGACATTTGTGAGATTTTGTTTGGTTAAAGATATGGACATGGATATTTTGCATTTCGATTGGCATAGAAAGTTATAAGTGATTTTTAAAACTGCACTTTTCCCACACTATCACTTCACTGATACAGTAGTAGATAGTTTTTCTCCATATAATTCAACCGTGTTCGTCTGAAGTTAAAAGCATTTTCTCTCATGACTTGGTGGCTCCTCTCTGTCCTGTGACGACTCCCGCCGTGCGATTGCTCGTTCCTGATGGGTGCAAGACCCAGCTGACGATTCTTGAACCTTTGCACTGTTTGCCCATCTTTGTAAACATTCCCCAGCGAAGCACCCGTGATACCGCGATGGAGCTCTTCTCCAGGAATGTGGCCGCGCTCTGGATGATCCTGCTGGAGTTCCTGCTCGAAACAGCGGCGGATGAAGGTAACTCCATCATTTTATTAAACGCAACTACCTGTTGACTCCTTATAGAGAAAGACGTGTTGTTACATATAGAAGTGTCTTAACATTGGATGTTAACAACAGAAGCAGTGTTATTTTATTCATTATGCGTTGTTTTGACTGGGCATTACATTGCTCGCGACTCAGTGGCCCTTGAGAAAGCATTCATGAATCCCTTGGCTAGTACTCTGGGTTACGTCTATTAAGACTGAATCTATTAGCCTACACATGGTCTAGTAGTCCATTACTTTGTGACCAGAGGCACTGTGAGATTGAGGGCTTGTAAAACGCTTCTGTTTATTGTAGTTGTCGTAGCTTTATTGATGCAAAGAACAATTGAATAGCCTGGATTTGTTTTTTTCCTAAACGAATCAGTTTTTACAAAGAGACTCCTCCAAACGGGAGGGGTGGGGGTTTTACTTTAAAAGTAATAATTGACTCCCAGAAAGTGCATGGGGATTTAAAGTGGAGACACCCGTGGGATTTATTAAAACCATTTTTTAAGTGCACTTATAATGGTTGCTACGCCCCTGCTTTCACTTGAGTGTTGCTTTCAGTTTAAAGAGCTCTTTAATAATCAATATAATTACTTTGCCCCTGTAATCACTATAGACTACGTACTTAATAACACTGATTTCATTCTTAAGACATTCTTTTGTCGTGAAAATCGCCGTTGGGTGGATCAAACAGAGGGATAATAAGTGCATCTCAAGTAACACGCAAATGTTAAATTACAAAGAGGATGGGCGGTGTATGGATGGCTTGGGTCGATAGAAATGTGAGTCCTGAATTGTCAGGGGACATTCCATCCAGTAACCTCAATAAGTAGTCGTTTTGATCAATAGAATGATGAATGGCTGGCTGTTCACGGAGGTTTCAATCTGCAGTGGCGAACACAGACAGAGGTATATATGGTGGTAGATTCGGCTAAAGGTGACTGTACCTGACTGTTGTAAGTCTATCAGTTTGCCGCAGGCTGCGTAATCGGTGACGGACGGGCGATTCGGATTAGTTCTGCATTATATGGCGCCGTGCACACCTGCTCCCCGCTTGCCGAAATCAATTAACCGACCTGTGTGACCGACACACGCAGATGATGCTCCTCCAACAGCAACACTGACTCCAATTAATGAGTTATTGAGGCGTTTCTGTCGCGGTAATTAGCTGATGAGTGTCAGAATCCCGTAGCTTGCGCTCTCAAGTGTGAAGGCGATCCTGCGTTTAATCCGGAACGGAGGCTAGAAGAGATCGGTTTATGCTGTTTAATTTAGGCATTTTAATGTAGTGCCCATACGAAAAATAAGTTTATTCAAGTGTGCTATTAATATACTTCTTTTAAACCAAAAATAGGAAAGTATACTTTTAGTCTACTTTTTATGTACTTCTCAGAAATATACTTAAAATGACATTTAAGTATACTTGACTTATACTTAGAAAAAGTATAAATATATTTATTTGAGCTATAATTGTGCTCCTAGAATCCGTGTTTTCATTGTTATACTGTACGGGGCGCTAGTACACGTCTTCTGTACAGAATTTCCAAAAAACACAAGTGAAGAAGAAACCGAAACAACAGACGCTTCCACGTGTAATCTAACACGATCATCAGACATAAAACAGCATCAAAACTGTGTAACGTTACGGAATAAAATGTCGACCCATGAAGACGTAATAATGTCTGTCAAGCTTTGAGGTGTTGATCGACTCCATCTACATTTTGATTATCATTCTGAATCCAATTCATAGTCTTTTTTTCAGCTTTTTGTTCAAAATGTTGTTTATTTCTTTATTTTTTATTTATGAAACTGATCCACATTCAAGTGTTTAAAAAAAGAATGCATGAAGCTAGAATAAAATGTTTTTGTTTACAAGCAGATATAACCCTGTTCTTTTGATGTTTTGTATGTTCAGATATTTATTTAACAAAACATATACAAATTAATACCTAAATAGGGACATAGTAGTATACTTAAAGTATGACGTAAAGTTCACTTAAAGAAAACTTACGAGTATACTTGCAGTATAAAACTACTAAACTAGTAGTTTACTGAGACTATACTTCAAAGTGTACTAAAAATGCATCTACAAGTATTTAATTAGTAAACTATCAGTATACCTATAAGTTCACTTTTAGTATAGTTGCAGTACAAGCTTAAACTTTTGGTGTAAACTAGTTGTGTACTCCAAGTTTACTACTGTTATACTTAAAGTATACTTGTATATACTATAAAGTGGGCCAATTTAGTCCCAAGGAGTATTGAAATAGTACACATACAAGTATACTAGTAGTACTCTGATTTGTGTATACTTACTACATAAAGTATACTTTAAAATATACTTGAACTTTACTTAAGTATACTTACTAAAATAAACTTGAAGTATACTACTTTTTGGTAAGGGTGGCCACGAAGCAGTATTTTGCATTACTTAATTAAGATGTAGGCTAGCTGCATTTTCATATATTTTAACTTTTTCTTTTCTTTTTTTGTGTGTGTAAAAGTCGCAGCGCTAGCGTCAAGCCGGTTTCGAGGTAAAATGAAACCTCTTAGATTTAAATCTTCAAATATGCGTCTCAGTAACTCACTCTACATAGAATTGTGACAATTAAAGGAAACAGTTGATTCCAAAGAAATCTTACCGTCCCTTACCCTTAAAGAAACTCTAGTCAAGAGTTCATTCTAATTCTATTCTAATGAACTCTTGACTAGAATTAACTCTTTATTGTTGTGTGTGTCTGTGGTATAGTTCTCACCATTTTTCTGTTGGATTTCTGTGCACATTCTGAACACATTGAGCTTCTCTGGTAAATTTTCTCTGTTACCTTTTATTTATGAGTTTGTTTGTTTATTATTATTATTATTATTATTTTTATTTTTTTTTGGAAAATGTAATAAAGTTGCTGGAATAAGTTTTTGAAAAAGGTGTTGAAAGTAGTGTGAAGACGTAGTCACTCATGTTTTGACTTTTTAGGCCCTGCCTCTGTTTTAATTAGTTTGTGCCATGAATGCTTTAACTAGCTTTTCTTTATTTCTGGTTTTACTCGCCTTTGGCAAGTGTTAATTTTGGCCCCTGTTTCATACCAGAATATTGCTAAAACTCAATACGACCTAATTGGGTAACTGTACCTGATAATTCGCTGAGATGGGATGTGGGGGGCTGGGGGGAGTTGCTTTGGCAGTTGTAAAGACTAATATGGTGAAGTCAGTAACAGAAGCAACAGGGGGGAGATTGGATTTGATTCTGTAGTAACTCAAACCCCTGCGTGAGATTAAACTAATGCCAGATCTGTGAGGATCACTGCACTGATCTCTAATTCCCTTTGTGAGGAAATATCAGCTAAATGAGAGAGAGGTAACAATGGCTTTCATGTGAGGTCAGAGCTCAGGAACTCTTCTGTCTTCCGTCTTCTGTTACCCTGGAGCAAAAAAAGAGCTTATCCATTCCACCTTCTGTATCTGATTCATTTATTTCTCTCGGTCTCATTTGTGTCTCTCTTCTCTATGTCTGTCATATGTGCATGCATTCACTGTCACAGTCATGGATTGGCTATGTCTGGAATGGAATACTAGCATACTATGCAGTGTATACGGCATGCTAGTTTTTTTGTGAACCAGCATGCAATGAACTTTTCAAGCGGTATCACATGGTCACACTACAAGCCATAGTTGTTTTCTGTTTTAATCCAATTGCAGCAATGCAATCTTGTTTTGCAATCACAGCTGATTTTGCTTCCATTTCAAAAGTAAAAGTAGCAAGTCATCTAAATAATAGATGCATGTAAGAAACTTGCTCAATGTGCAAAGTATTCATATTGCAATAATAGTAAGAATAGTAGTTGTATGTTCAAAATGGCACACGATCATATATGTTAAGTGGTGTAGTGATGCAAAAAAATCGATGTTGACACATGGCACTTTCTATTCTTCTCTTTTCTTATTGTAGTTCACTTGGCGAAGTGTTTAAGTTTCCTCTACTTCTCTCCCGCTGCAGAAATGCACATCCCTCCTCAGAAATCCTATTAAATGGAACTGATTTTTATAAGTCAGGGATTTGCATTTAAAGCAGCACTCTCCTCTCTGCCCCGCTCTTCACTCTCTCTTTGGTTGTTAATCCTGTGATTAGCCGCTTGAAGATTTAAACTGCAGCTCCACGTCTCATCTCTAATCATCAATCCCGCACCTTTACTCTCTACAGAGTTACCACAGTATGTTTGTCTCAAACCCAGAGAGCTTCCAGTTGCGTATGCTTGCTGGATCTCGTGTGGAAGGAATCCTTTTTCAACTTTCATTCTTTCATGTGTGTTTTTTGTGTTTGACTGTGTGGTCTGCATTGCCCCGGTTGCCGGTCCAAACACTGTGCAGATTGATAGGATGATAACAGCGCTCAAGCGGCTCTTGTTGGGCTCTCTCTCTCTCTCTCGCTTTCACGTCTCTTCAGCCAGTGCATCAGTGTCAATACCGCCCTGATGGATGAGGGGCTGACAGCCTAAGAGTCTCTCGTTTCATCTTTTTTCTCTCTGTCTCCATCATTCCCTCCTACACCCCTCTAAAAGTGGCTGAGAGTCGCCATTTAGCATGAGAGGAGACCTTTGACCTTACAGAGGCTGACACAATCAGCGCAGAAGTAAGAGAACCGATCAGGCGATGGAGGAACTCCAATAATGTAGTGTGTCATTTCTGTAAGTGGACAGGCATTTGAGTGGTGACACATTTCATAATTGCAAAGAAAGGTTTGTTAGGAGCATGCTCATGTAATCCCAATTTACCTCACTCACCCAACAGTTGTCCAGGATTGATTGCAACCAATTTACAGAGCCATTTACAGAAACTTTACAGCCCTGATCGGATTCTTGGCCACCCTCGTGCACTGAAAAAATTATGTTTTCAGTCTTGTTTCCAGTAAAAATATCTTTAAAACAAGATCATTTTAGCTGAGCAGCAAAATTATGTGACATAATGTTTTTAGAGAATCTTAAGTTTGCT